GATGTATCTCGCTGCATTGCGCGAGTACGCTTCTAGTACCAATAAATGATGAATTCATTAATTTGTAGAATTCCATCCATTTCAAAAAATGAACCAAACAAAGGAATTTGAATTTGGTCAAAGAAATTTACCATTCCAATTTCTATCAAATCTGTAAATTATATAATAAAGTTTTACAAATGCACTAATTCAAACTCCTAAATAAAAATGGTTGAAACAATGAATGTTACAGAATTTTAGTGGTCGACTAAAATTCTACAAACCTTGATGAATGATGGGTTTTCCCGTTAATGAAATACAATTCAGAAAATCTTTTATCATAATAATAAAAAAATTAATTTTATTAAATTTTCATGTAAATAAAGTTATCTATATTATATTATAAAATATTTGATAAAAATTCTTAAAAACCACTTTTATGCGTAAAGTATTGTTTAGTAATGCATATTACTTAAAACTCAAGATTGCAAGTATATTGTGTGTAAGTACAACTTATTAAAGCTCCATATCTGAATTCGTGTAACTAACTGTAGATAAACATAATCAAATACATGATAATCATTGAGTTCTAACAAAATACTTAATCATTATCTTTATAAAATGTTATATTATTAAACCAAAAATAAATTATTTTGTTATTAAACTTAAATTAAATTACAATAAAAAAACAAAAGAAATTACATAAAAAATGAGAACTTTTAAATAGTTGATTTTGATAACATTGATATATATTTTTTTTTCAAATTTTTATGATATCTTCAAATTTATATTTATTCAAAAATGAAATCATTATTGTTTTCTTAAAAACACATAAAATACGTATTATAATATCGATAGAAACAAATAATAAAATAGAACATTAAAATCGAGATGTGTCTCGCTACATTGCACGAGTACTGTTCTAGTATATATTAATAAAAATAAAAATATAACCATTTATTTCTATTTATTATATCATCACAAATAAATGAAAGTATTTTATTAAAAGAAATATTTTTATAGATAATATATGCTTTTTCAATTATTAGCATAAATAATTCAGAATTTGTTTTATCATCTATACTATATTATAAAGTATTTGGCAAAAATTCTTAAAAATCATTTTTTATACATAAAGTAATGTTTATTGATGTATATTACTTAAAATTCAAGAGTACAAGTAAATAATGCAAAGTACAACTTATTAAAATTTCATGCTTGAATTCATGTAACTAACTGTAAATAAACATAATCAGATAATGGATAAACATTTCATTTTAAATATAAAAAACCTAAAATATAATTAGGATAATCATCGTGTTTTAAGAGAATAATTAATTATTATCTTCATTTAAAACAAAATATTATTAAACCAAATGAGACTCACGAATAAGATCCCCGACGGGGATCGAAACGGTTACGAAGACAGTTTTAGTTATCGGTTTTGGGGATGGGGAGACCATTCACCGGCCCAAACCCGGCTCTTTGCCATTCCTAATTGAATTACTTGATAGTGAATTAAGTTTAAGAATGGTATACTGTCAACGCTGGTTGACACACACACGATAATACAAAAAAACATCATATCATGCAATGTTATTCTACACTAAAAAGAAAATGGTCCATTGATATTTATGACTACTCAAAAAAGCGATTCATGAAATTCTTGTTGATAGTTCGGATGATGGTAGCGAACTTTCATGTGCCAATAACAAAGATTATGATGGGTGACTTGAAAGGTGCATTTGATATGTAGACGAAATCGAATATAATTGGACATGACTGAACTAGACAGATGTAAGTGAGGTAGGCAGATGAAAGAATTATGAAAGATATTAAGAATTTAATTTAACATGGATAGTTCAGTAATTTACCAATATTATCTCATTTAACTATTTTAGTGAGACAAAAAAAATTACATTTTTATCCCTTAGAGATTATGTTTTACCATCTAATTTTGAGTGAAACATGACACAACAAATGCTTTTTTCTATTGTATTATCTCATCCCATATGCAACATGAAGGCTTTCAACGTGGTAAAAACAAAAGGAAGACATGAGGAAAAAACGAAGGATAAAATTCTGTCTTAACAACGCATAAAAATAGATGTTGTATAAACTTACCATACACCAGGTACAAGAAAATGAAGCACATGGCTCAAAAAGGGACCAAGTCGCATTGTATATCGGCCCAATGAAGACGCTTTAGGTCTCAGTCAACTTCTCGAGCGAAAACCATGCAACACATGTCTCGGGGCCGGGGATCCCCGGTAGACACAAACCGGGGACGGGGACGGGGGATGTTACTCAAATTGGGCCGGGGCCATGCCTAGGTGCGACCCACATGCAGGTCGCATGGGCAACAATAGTGAGCAACCTCTTCACCGAAAGTCGCATGGATCATGTAGAGGGTTATAAGCCTCGGTTTGGAAAGCTTGGTCCGTGCTTTTTTCTTTCCATACTTTTTCACTTTGTTCTATTATATCTTAAGTTTGAAGGGAAGCTTTGTACTTAAGCTGATTTGTTGATCAAAGATCATTGTAAACAAGCTGCAATCTTCTTGATCAGCAATATATAGAACCATGTTATATCTCGTTGTCTCAATTTACGTGTTGCTTCGATATTTGACTGTATATCTGACCATTACTGTTTTATATACCTTTATGAATTGATATATCTTATTAGACTTCAATATATAATAACCAAATCTTGTTTATCTGCATTTGTTGTATTAACCAGCTTACATTGTGGTTTATTAATAATATTTGAGACTGCAAAATCACTTAATTTAAAGAATTTTACACACTATCTAAAGTAATCTCAAATAGTTATGCTATATTCTTTTCCTTCTAAATAGAGCATAAACAGTCAATCTATAAAAAAAATTACTTCCAACTCCAGCAGCTACTTTATTTTAACGATTCTAATGATAAATATATTATTAAAATATTTAATATATTTATTTTCAATGTTTTTATTGGTGGCAAACCATTAAAATTATTATTTTCTCTCATATATAAACTCTTAGGGGTTGTTTGTTTACCTCTTAATAGTTTCATTAAGAGGCAACCTCTGAATCGTTAAGAGGTGAATCTTGTTTGACAAAAAAAAAAGTCCGCCTCTTAATGGTTTTAAAACCCCGTGAATGATTTTGTATCTTAGATCTCTCTTAACCATTAAGATCCCTAATTTCATTGTATACGATTACCAAACAATTATATTTCATTTTGCACTATATCATAAGAGTCACTTAATCATTCTACACCAAACCATTCAGCAATTGCCAAACAACCCCTTAGGGTGCGTTTGGTTTGCAGGAATGAAATGAAATTGAGGGGATTTGGATTTAAAAATCATTCCAATCTTGTCTTTGGTTTGCCAAATTGTAAGGATTCGAAATCTCGGGATTTCTTCAACTTTAGCGATTTTCACCCTCTCTAATTTATTTTCTTTATTTTAATATATGTTTTAACATAGCTATTGGATCAAAAAATGGTTAAATCTTTAAAATCTCTAGTTTAGCATAACTATTGGAGATGCTACCGTGTTTTCTCCATTTTGGAGAATACGTTACAACAAATAACTTGTTCAAAATCTTCATTTTTTTTGTTTTAAAGAATCCATTGCATGTGCTCTAAAGTCCAGGAGTGTGCATAAAGTCAATCAATCCAATTAGAATCGATTGATCCAACTAGAACGACTGACCATAACTGGATAGAATCGGATTGRAAAATTCAACATCATTGATCAATTCTTGGATGACAGTTCAAAACCGATGGAACCATCCAGTTATCCACTTAACCATTCTCCAACTATCATCCAATTAATTTGTTTTCAATTTGCTTAAATCGAATTCGTTTTATGTTGGTTTTGAATTTTTATCCTCRCTTGTGTTGTTTTTCTTAAACATATCAAAAGTGATTAATTAATTTGTTTGAATGGTATAAAAATAGATTAATTGAGTAACACATTAGATGGATCCAATCCGACTTGATCATCAGTTGGATGTCAGATGGATCTAATCCGATCTAATTCAATTAATATTAATTGGATCTAATCCGATCGAATAAATAGAACCGAACTGATCCAACCATTATTAAATTATATTAAACTGGTTGTTTATTTATTAAACAAATTAATTCGGTTAATAAAATCCAACATCCAATAAATAATTTGATTGTTTCCTCTCAAGGTCCAATGACCGTCGATTTGTCTAAGTGTGAAAACTCCACGCATCTTGCGTAACTGCCAGGACCACCTGTAGGTTATAAGTTCATATCCACAAAACSTTACTGTGCACCTCCACGATTCTCCACCATCTCTAATGACCATAAAACCTCGAATCCACCATAAGAGTCAGTACCCAATTGCATTCCCCTTTATTTTCATACCACCATCATCATGTTCAGCTTCATCTTCAACCTCCCAGAACTCCTTATTCACCATGATTCCAACACAATCATCATCTTGATCTTAACCCTGATGATCGTATCTCTTCTTCTTCGGTTATATATCTTCATAATGAATAAAGCTTCATGCAAAATATACATGATCGATTTCGCCTGTTACAAACCCCCAATTTCTCAACAGTGCTCAAAAGACTTCRCCATGAAACAAGCAAGATCCAATGGCTATTTCACAGAGGAAACGCTGGATTTCATGGAGAAAACTCTGGASAAATCCGGCCTTGGCGATTCAACTTATTTGGCAGAGGTTTTTTTCGGAAAAACTTATAATCCATCCATCAGAGATTCAAGAAGAGAGGTTGAAATGGCTGTTTTTGGATCCATAGACATGATTCTAGCAAAAACAGGCATCAGATCTCAGGATATCGGGATCCTGATTGCAAATTGTTGTATCTATAACACAGTTCCATCTCTTTCCACCATTATCGTTAATCGATATAAGCTTCCAGAAAGTATAATCAATTACAATCTCGTCGGCATGGGTTGCAGCGCCGGACTTCTGGCGATCGGACTTGCTAAACAACTACTCCAGGTGCACCGGAACTCGTATGCATTGATCGTCAGTACAGAGAGTATTACTGAAAACTGTTACACCGGAGAGGATCGTTCTAAGTTTCTTATAAACTGTTTGTTTCGCGTCGGCGGCGCTGCGATCCTCCTCTCCAACCGCCCCTCCGACCACCGAATTGCTAAATACCGCCTTCTTCACGCCGTGCACACCACCACGGCAAGTTCWGATCGTTCCTACAACTGTRTCCTTCGGGAAGAAGATAAAGCGGGAATCGTTGGCATTAATATCAACAAAGACCTCCTCTTCGCCGCCATAGCCACCATCAAACTTAACCTAACCACCCTAGGTCGGCTAATCCTTCCGATAACGGAGAAACTCCATTATCTGATAAACTACATAGGAAGRAAGCACTTTCCGACGTTAAAAATACAACCGTACGTACCTAATTACACCAAGGTCGTCCATCACTTCCTCCCTCACGTCGGCGGGAAGCCGGTGCTCGACGAACTGCAGAAGACCCTAGGGTTTACCGACACTGTTATGGAAGCTTCTAGAATGACTCTGTACAGATTCGGAAACACCTCCAGTAGCTCGATATGGTACGAGCTTGCATACGTGGAAGCAAAAGGTCGGGTCAAGAAARGTGAGCGAGTGTGGCAGATTGCATTCGGGTCGGGTTTCAAGTGTTGTAGTGTGATTTGGAGTGCAATAAAGACCGTTGATCTCGATGACAATAATCCATGGACGGATGAGATTGATGAGTTTCCAGTGACCTTGCAAGACTGCGGACCAATGCCTGTCTTTTTTGAACCTGTCCAATAAATAAAATTTAAGAGTAAACTATAAATTTGGTTCTTATTTTTTTTCAAAATAATATTTTTAGTCTTTAAAGTTTTAAATTTACAAAATAATCATCATTTTAGTTCGATTCTCTAAAATCCATTAAAAACTTCCGTTCAATGAAGAGTATTTCTGTCTATTTATCATTTTTTTTTCTCTTTTACTCCATCAAAATCAATTTTATTATTTGGTTCCTATGGTTTTTGATTGGTTAAAGGATTATAAAATCGATAAAATGACAAAAATATTATTCATTTAACAATTTTATTTAATGGCCGTTAAAGAGGGACCAAATTGAACGTTCTACAAACGGCAATAGCTATCTTGTAAATTTAAAAGTTCAGGGATGAGAAGTGTTATTCTTGACAAACCTTGAGTACCAAATCTGTAATTTACTCTACAATTTTAGGTATATTGGGAGCAGGGGAAATAAAGTTTTTATGATTTTTAAATTGTTGTATGAAAATTTTATTGAATTTAAAATGAATTTTGTTATGGAGACAACTCTTGTTCCAAAAATATTTAATTATTATTCATTTTACTAAAATTCATAGTATTTTCTTGGCTTTCACTAAGGTGTATTAAAACAGGCAAATTACATAAAAAAGTAATGTAATTTAATTTGAATTTTATTTTGAATAATGTATTTTTAGAATTTTCATTTTGATATCTAAAATGTAAAGTTTTAAACATTTAATTACCCAAGTAACTGGTTGAAACATTAACCAGTTAMCATGCTGATGTGACATCCAACTCAGTGTAATTTGTTGAAGTATTAACTRGATACCATATCAYTTGCCACATCAKCATGGTAACCGGTTAATGCTTCAACCGGTTACCTGGGTGCTTAAATGAAATTTTACATCTTATGTACCAAAATGAAAGTTTTAAAAGTACGTTACCGAAATA